TATTCTTCTATAGAATAAACAACAAAATTAAATTTTGGTGTCACCGATCAAAGAATTTTCTCCACAATGGTGATGTCCTTCATTTTCTCTCCATGTATTCAAATTTTGTTAGCAATTGTCATTGTTCTCGCAAAGAAGTCCAAAATTGACTTTCCTAACTTCATGTGTAAAGTCTCAAATACTGTAGTCCTTGAAGTAGAACCCGCTTTGCCCTTGTGTTCCATTGATGCTTCTTCTTCATGGAATCCCAAATATACTTGGAGGTTTATTTGGAAAGAATCGCCTCCAAGGTTGATCAATCAATGGCTTGAAAATGATAGTTCTTGGCCCTAAGATCCTTCAACTTTAATGCATCAAATTCAACCCATTGCGTTGCTATAACACAATGCTTATTGTTGGTTCTATTACTCTAGATTCAATGACATGCCAATATTCCTTATATCTCAAAACTTTTTTCCATCAACATGCTCCAATGATCATAATGACCATCAAAGCATGGAATAGAAGGCTAGACAAAACTTTTAGAAGCCATTAATTATAACGAGGAAAGAAATAAAAATCTCTCTACCTCACTTCCTTGTGTTTTCCCAAACTTAACTTGTTGCTGTTTACTCTGACTTTCCTCTATTTACAATTGAAATTGAGAACCAAAGCTCGGATACCACTGATGGAGAGTTTTACATTAGCGAACACTCCATTCATGGGTAGTGAGTAAATCACACAAGTGAATTTGATACCATATCATAACCCAAAACCTTGAAGCATTATGTAGGTAAATTTTCCTCATTTATATACTACTCAACATACTCAATTAACCAATGTGGGACTTTACTCACACACTTGAACTCTAACACTTCTGTTGGAGTATAAACAAAGTCTCATGTCACTAGATTATGAGGAGAAATAAAGGAATAAAATTTTATAAAATACATAGTTTTCATTAGTATAAGATTTTTTTACACCCATAAATTAATAATATATTTTTTTACAGAAAAATAAAAATAAATAAATAAATAATTCTAACATAGAATAACAATCACAAAATTACATTAATTAAGTTTCATCTTACATAAGTTTAAAATAGAATAATTACATAAATATAAAGTAAATTCTATAAAAAAAAAATAGTCATGTGTATAAAAAATACATACTCTGTTGAGAGAAATAAGATGCACCTCTTTACACATTGAAAAACATCAATCTTCTACTAATAATCAGGTATATCGTGAAGAATTTATTTTTTTTAAAAAAAATAACTATGCTTTGAAGTTGTACTAATAATCAGGTATCTCGTGAAGATTTTTTATTTTATTTTAAAATAACTATACTTTAAAGTTGCATGACTAAACCTAAACCCCAACGTAGCCCAATTTAAAATATATTATAATACTACAAAAAAGAATCAGAAACAAATTATGCTAAACGGAACCACTAATGGGAGAATGATTGCCTAAATCCTTGTAACTGGCACTTTCACCTTTATTGGATCTTCACATATATTGGTTAAAAATAAAGGGAGATATTGAAGGCTAATTTTAGGAATATATTCTTGAAAAATAATATGCATACTTACCAGCTATTTGAGCATATGAATGCTAGTTTGTTCTAGCTTTTATCTTATTCAATTCAGATTATACATATTCCTGCAAACGCACTTACAATGTATTCTCAGGCCACTTTTTTCTTCACCTATTCCATCTCAGCAATTATTTAATATTTAGCTTTATTTCCAAGTAATGTAATAACTAATGGATTCAATGATTTACTGCCTCATATAAATAGCTTTTAAAATCTATATTTGGCATGCTTATTTTCAATTATTTCCGAATCCATGGATTTTCATTAGATGCCATTAATGAAATGCCATTTCTTTGTCATTTTGTTAAATCTAAAATTTAAATCCTGTTTTACTTCACTTGGAAATAAAACAAAATAAAGTCTTATTATTTAGAATATTAAGGAAAATAATGACAATATTTAATATTCAATCAAATTATTAAACGTTTAAAACTCACTTCTATCATTAGCAAAATAACCTAAATTTATCCGACGAGTTACAACTTAACTTCTATTACAAGATATTCCACCACCATAACATGTAAATCCATGCATAATATGACCGTTGATAAAATAAGAATTAATTAATGAAAAAATAAATGGATAAAATAGAATACGCATTACTTTCACTAAATCATAGTTTTGATAATCAACATAACTAAAGTCCCATTTACAAATTTTAATTAATTTAAAGTAATGTTGAGCAACTATTTAGCAAAGTCTAATAGAACTCTATTAACCTCAAATAATCTCCCAATTCCATTAAAAAAAATGATTAAGAATGATATCATATTCAGACCAAAAACCAGTAAACCTTATTCAACCCAAACCAAGCCCTACAAATAGAAATATTATATAAAAAAATACAATTCGTTAAATGTTTATAGGATAGATTACCACAATTCATTGATTTATCGTTATTATGAAACATTATTTTACCACAGTTCATGTGCATGAATGAACAAGGGGTAAACCAAAACCTGTTGACATAGCCAAAGCAGTCGTAGTTTCATCAACAAAGCTCTATAGAATTATCTAATAGTTAAACAAGTGTACTCATCATAATAATCCGATTTCCCACAATACAGAATGGGAAAATAACCCCAAAAACATCACAGACAAACTTGTACATCTACATGAAAGAGTATATACCACTTCGGAACCAAAACAACCTTCCAAAGCCTATAAAGGAACCGAGATCATTATCATATCAAGCCATACAAAATCATCCATAATCTTTCCACAGGAAATGCTCTAAGTACAACCTGACAGGAAGAGAAAGAGAGCACTCTACAACCCATTTCCACCAATCCCTTCGGATCAGAAACATTCTGTACCCATTGAAAAACAAATTAAGATGCATGAGATTTATCAAGATATTTCACACGAAAGCTTAAACAAAAAAAAGCATCATCCGTTGTTAGCTAATAGTCCGCAAGCACTACGGGCCCAAACAAAAAGAACAAAGAGCAGAATAAAGCACCAGACCCCATCCAATGACAAATATAAAACAAACTCTTTTAACATTTCAATTGCAGAAAGTAGGGACAAAAAGGGACTAAGAGCATAACTTCAGAGACAGGGTTGAAGTGATGAGTGGGCTCCAACTAATCCTCTGCCCAAAGCAACCAACAAATATGAAGTCAATTTCAATTTCTCAATCAGCATAAATGTATTAATGAAGTAGAAAACCAAACATCAACAATGCTGTGGGACATCTTGAAATCAAGTGCAGATATAACTCTAAATTATATAAATCACATCAATCTCTGTTAGAAGGCTCTAAAAATAAGGAAAGCATACTTAAAATGATATTTTGAGAGAAACTAATTAATTGAAACAACATCCAATCCGAGCAATGCATTAAATATTCAAATTAATATAATACTATCCAGTTTTCATCGATCATTCAGAGTTGAATTGCTTGATACACATGACAAAACCAAGAAATTCAAAAAATAAAATAAAATAAAAAATAAAAAACTAGATCAACATACTGAGCCATGTATTTCAACACTCTTGCAAAGCTCACCAAATTCTGTATTGAGACAGTTACATCAGATATTAAAAAAAGAAAATGGCAAACCATACACAACAATGATAATCCATCACCATGGTTTACACACTTTTATTAGAAAACGATGTCTTTATTTAACAATCAACACTGATTTGCATTTACTCCAAATCCAAAAGGCACAATATTGAAAAAAGTCAACAATAAGTTTATCAAGCATGCACAATGAATGGCAACTGCGAAGTTCAGTAACTTAATATCTTAGTTTCCAAATTCACTAACACAATGGAGAAACAAACTTCAACATGGAACCACAGCAGGCAGGGATTTCACTTGTAGACATGGCTCGCTGTACTCACAACAGTAAGCCATAAAAGACTTGCACTAGCCATGAACCACAAAGAATGCAATCTCTTCTCTTAGCCTCCCTAACAGAAGCCAAGATTTAGAGAAAAACAAGTCCAACCATATCACAAACAATTTGCATGCATTAGCCATCCCATATCATCAAAAAACGAAAAACCATATGACACCCACATCACCATAGTGATTGATTGATAATCAAACACAACTTCAAACCCCATACCTCAGTCAACACCCCATACATCCCCATTGATTGATAAACCAATGCAGTCACTCACTCCTCAGTCCTCACTACTAACATGAACCAAATCATCAATCCACTCAAAAAGATTTCAGACAAAAAATCCCTAGATCCCTAAAACTCCAATACCAAGTCACCAGAACCATTTCATCACTTCAGAAGACAATTGAACCCAAAAATATCCACACCACACCAACCCCAAGAGTCCCAAACAGAACCCAAACCCTAATCCTAATCAACACACGCTTGTCATCACTCTACTCACACCCCAGAAATCAATCACATTAAACCATATTCCAATAACTACAGCCAAGATTTTAAACTGCGGACCCCCTTCTTCCTTCTCGATCCTCGATAATACATGAAATCGCAGACAAATGCAAATATAGCAGGAAATTGCAGTCAAATGCTAACAGTAATTTCGAACCTATGAAATTGCAGACAGATGCAAATATAGCAGTAAAATGCAGACAAATCCAAACAGTAATTTAAAACCAACGAAATTGCAGACAAATGCAAATATTGCAGGAAATCAATTGCAGACAAATGCAAACAGCAATTCAAAACCTCGATTACAATCTCCACCAATCAACAATAACACAAAAAACCCTAACTCTAACCCCAACCCTAACCTTTCTTATGCGGCACGGGCTGGATGACGGCCTCGCCCTCGTCGCCCTCCTTGACCGCGCGTGACCACCGCCTCCGC